TATATAATAGTTTATTTTTACATCATTTTGTGCATTTTCCATCTCAGTTGTAGTCCCTGTGGGTTTCCCATCACCTAATCACTCATGTGCCATCACCATCGTACAGTCACTGACATGACCTGTTCTGAGTTTTCCCAGGGGTAGCCCTGGGGTCCTGTGTACATCAGTGAAACTTTGACTCAGGCTCTGGCTCTAGCAGGGGGTAGGTGCTGGCAGGGACTCACCTCAATGAAGCTCTGGGTCCCACAGATGGGAACTAGGGGTCTCGCTACTGAGTCACAGGCTCCTCTGAGAGATGGGACACCAGGCCCCTGTGCTGGGGGAGAGGTCTCTACTGGGACACACCCCTGTGGGGACACTGTCTTATGGGACCCTGTGTTCCGGGTGCCGGAGAGTCCCTGAGTGCAAGGAAAGAGTCTCCCTCTGCAGGAGGAGGGCATTTGGACCCTAAGGGTCACCAGGGGCCAGTTCTAGGCTGTCACACCCCAGAAACCAAATGGTCCCTGCATAAAAATCCCAAACAGTGGTGACCTTGGATTTCTAAAATGAGGGGTGACCATCACTTGTGCAGGAAAAGAGGCCATTGTATTTTTTTCTTGTAAGAAATGTTCAGGGGAAAACAGCCCCCTCTTTGTTTTCTGAGGACATGGCAGAGCAGTTACCTGGCCTGTCCCCCAGTCAGAGCCCTTGGCCTGAGGAGGTCTGGGAAGGTCAGGACAGGACTGTGAGGTCCTCAGGAGCCCCCTGCACCCCCCAAAGAGCCACTTCCTTTTCTGAGCCCCCTCCCCACCTTGGCCTGACCCCTCCTCCCTCACCTGAGAAACATAGACCAGTTTCTCCTGTCACCCCCAGTCTGGGCCCCTCTCACCTGGAAGCTCAACTAGGTCCTGCTCTGCTCACAGCCTGGCAGGGGCTCCCCACCTACAGTAACTCCAGCCCACAGGTGACCCCTTCCCAGGCCTCTGACACCCCCTTCTGTGACTCTCCCCCTCACCTTGCCCCAGCTAACCCTCCCTGCTCTGTCCTTGCACACCTGGCACCAGTGAGCCCCCCACAGGATGTTCCCTCCATGGACCCTTACCCCAACACCCCTCCCAGGGCTCTGCTCCATCCCACCCTCTACACTGACCCCCTTGATGGACACAGCTGCCCCCAAACTCTTCCTCCCTGCTGCCCGACTTGCCCCTGCCGGTCCCCTCTCTCAGCCCCTCCATAGGTGGGGGTTTAATAAGTTTGTTATATTTATTATTCAGTGTCTCCTGCTAGAAAGCAGCTCTTTGAAGATAAATAATCTATTTTGTACATAGAACCAGGCACACAGTTGATAAATAGGGTAGAATAAATTAAGGACTAACAAGTGTTTCTGAACACATAAAAATAAAATAAAAAAATGAGGGCAAAGGTATTTTTATATTTTGACAAGTGACTTTTTGAAACCCATAAACCCTTCACTGAGCAGTTATCACCCCTTCCCCTCCTGTTACAGCTCAGTGACTGCATTCACCTGTGTCATCACATGCGTGGTTGGGGAGCACCCCATCTTTCTAGAGGCAGGGCCCCCACACCCTTCATGAAAGAGTAGCCTCAGAGCCACTAGAGCCAGAAGGAGACACAGGATAGAGAAGGGGATGTGGGGAGGGGGACACTCACCTGTTGAAGCCATACATTTATGTCATAAGACCTATCGGTTACAGATTTGAGGACAGAAATCACTGTCATGAGTGGAAGTTGTGCCGATACCGACCGAGATGTACAACCTAAATAAACCCGCTGGGCAGTGGGAAGATGGGCAGGGAGAGGGGACAGGTAGACGCTGAAGAGAGCCCACAGGGAGGAGCATGGCCTGCGGGTGAGCAGGAATCTCCCGGAGGAGAGGTCTGGGGACGCGCTCGCACAGGGTCTGAGGTGAAGGCCTGTTAGGGGACATGCCACTGAGGAAGAGGGAGGGCAGCACACTGGGATGAGCTGGGTGCAGCCTGTGGAGACTCTCCTGTGCTGTATGTAATATGCTGTAACCCTCAGCCCCACAGGAACTGTGAGGTTCTGAGAAAACTTAATCCTGGTAACAGGGTGATGGTAAACATGGTTCTCAGCAGACTTGGTTCTTTAAAAACTGTGGGTGGTTCACTAGAGAATGATCATAGACATAATACAAGTTCAGTGTCATAAAGAGAAAAATGCTCAAAGCACCAATACTTGTCAGTCAGGAGAAGAACAGTTTGTCTGAAGGTGTCACCTCTGACCCTATGGTTGGACATAAAAATGCTGTAAAATCATAAACTGCAGCATCAAGTACAAGATCTGTCTCAGCCCCAGGAAACAACAGAGGCTGGAGGATCCCAGAATCTTGCTGTAGGCACAAGACACAATGGGAGACTCGTCAGCTGGCATCAGGCTTTGTCATCAAATGAGTCTGATCCAAGCTAGAGAGATTCACTCCCCACAGCGCTGCCAGGCCAGGAAGCCCGGGCTGGTCTGCAGCCCTGGTCAGCACCAGGCACAGCCTGGGGGCGCAGGGTTAGGATTGAAGTCTGCCCCACCTGGCCTCTGTGTGGGTTGGGTCTCCATGGTCACATGTAGTGACGCCCTCAGGTGTCTGTCTCTCTCCTTTGATCCCACGGGTCAGCACAGACCCTCCAGCGCCACCCCCACTGCAGAGATGGCAGGAGTTGGTGTTTCTGACAGCTGGATCCCACCCTGCCCCCTCCCCTGCCACTGAGGCGGTTGCCCGGCTTGGTTGCTGTCACTGGTGCTCATTGCCCAAGGGGTGGTGTTTCCTGTCACAGTCTTGAGTCTGAGTCTTCCAGACACCGGGGAGGGGCCTGCGCATCCATCGCAGATCCACTTCAGTCTTTTCAGAAACCTTGACACGGATTTCTATAAGGGCTGAACCAGTCTACACCCCCAGACAGTGTAAAACTATTCTCCTTTTTCCATGTTCTTGCCAACAGATGTCTTTTATGGTCTTTTTGATTTGGGCCATTCTCACAGGTGTGATGTGGTTTCTCATTACAGTTTAAACCAGGAGATCATGAATCATAAAATGGGGGGAAAGAAATCCTGTCACACTCAGTCCCACACAAGGCAGCTGTCTCACACTGTGGAAGAAAATCACATTGAAGAGATTCAGGTGAATGACCTGAAGTGTGGACATTCTCCATAGCCCACCCATCCTCAGAATGCCCCCCTCACTGTTCCCCCATAACCTAGTCCCTCCTCTCTGCCCCAGCCCCTCCCATGCAGGCCTCAGGGTCTAAACTTTGGGGACTGCGAGACACATCAGGGCCCAGGGTACTGTATCTGCCTGGAGGAGAACAACACAGAACCTGGTCACAGCCATGAGAGAGGAGACCACAGGAGGGACTGATGGGGTGACTCCCCCAGGGGCTCCATCTACACTGTCCCAGGGGCTCAGGGACCAAACCCCTGATCCACACTCACCTGCAGCCGGAGTGTAGCTTCCTCCTTGTCCCCCTGTGGGAAGAGACATCATGTGAGACCAGGGAAGAGTCAGCCCATGAAGTCCTAAAGGAATCCCCAATTCTTGGCCACAGGGGAGTTTTCAAAACCGTGACTGAAGACCCAGGGCTGAACCAGGAAAATGAAGAAAGGAGGTGAGGGGGGACTGGACCAAAAGCCCTCTGGGTAGCACACATGTCTGGATGGTGCTTCCCATTAACCAGGTGGGGCACGTTCTCACAGGGACTTGAGAGCCCCCAGTGGACAACATCCCTCACGCCCCTCCCTACCTGAGTGCTTCTTCCTCTACATCACAGCTGCAGCCACCGCAGCCCCAGTGAGCACAGCTCCAAGGAGAACCAGGCCAGCAATGAGGCCCCCAGTGGGGGTGGAGGACTGAAGAGGGGGCTCTGGAAGGGAAGGGGAGGGGAGACTCTGAGACCCAGGCCTTTCATCCTGACCCTCTGAAGACCCTCAGAAGGGCCCCTGATCCCCCTGAGAAGAGCCTCTGTGCCCAGGTCCCCCTCCTCACCCCATCTCAGGACTCGGGGCTCCGGAAGCCCCACATGCTGCACATGGCATGTGTATCTCTGCTCCTCTCCAGAATGCACCACCACAGCCGCCCACTTCTGGAAGGTTCCATCCCCCCCAGGCCTGGTGTCCACCAGCTCCATGTTCTGGGTCAGGTTCTCCCCATCTCGCTGCCAGGTCAGGGTGATCTCCGCAGGGTAGAAGCCCAGGGCCCAGCACCTCAGGGTGACCTCATAGTCAGAGGTGGGGTGGTGGGTCATCTGTGTCTTTGGAGGATCTGAAAGGGAACAAATCAGAAATATCACAGTTTGGGTTATTATCCAGTGTGTTCCATAGACACTGAGTATCCTCACGTGACCATCCTCAGAATGGACAGGACATTGGTTTGGAGGAGGAAGCACAAAACCCAGAGCCCAGTCCTGTCTGGGGAATCTGGGATCATGGGGTGAGGGCCCAGGGTGGGAGGGTGCAGGTCTCTAAGGAGGACACAGACTCTGCTGCTGACCTGGGGGGGGGGGAGGAGTGAGTGACACAGAAAGGCAGAGTCAGGTCCAAAACTATTCTCAGGCCAAAAAAACGAGACCTTGAGAGAGAAACTCTTGGGTTCCAGGGTGGCTGCTGCTGTCTCAAAAGGATGCAGTGAGGATTGGTTCAGGGGCGTGTCCCCTCCATCCAGGAGAGACTGCATCCCTTCACTGTCCAGAGAAGGTGAGGTCTTCTCATGAGACCAGAGGACGCCTCCCTCTCCAGACCAGAAAGGGGACCCTGTAAGACCCATTACCCCGTGTTCCTGGGGGTGCCGGCCTGCGGAGAGATGGGGGAGCTCTCAGCCCCTCTTACCTGCGCGCTGCAGAGTCTGATTCCTCATGTCCAGGAATCTGAGCAGCCAGTGCACACACCTTTCCTCCAGGAGTTTCTTCACTTGCTCCGCCCTCCCCGACGCCTCCCACTGGCACTGGGTGATCTGGGCCACCGGGTCCGCGGGGGTCCAGGAGCGCAGGTCCAGGGTCAGGGCGATGTAATCGGCGCCGTCATAGGCGAACTGCTCGTATCCGCGGAGGAAGCGCCCGTCGGTCCCCACATCGCAGCCCCATTTCCTCTGGATGGTGTGAGATCCTGAACAAGGACCCTGTGGTCAACCCCCGGATCACCCCGTCTGCACCCGGACTTCCTGTCCTGAACAAACATAAACTTACAATATCTTAGGTGAAAGACTCGCGGGCTCTTTCTGTGTAGTGTTGCTGGGGTGTGTGGGGTACAGTAAACTCGGGATTCGCTCGGGTCCTGAGCCTTAGGTCGGTGGGAATGGGGGTGACCTTGCACTGAGCCCACAGTGCTCACCGTCCGGGCTCTGGTTGTAGCGGCCGCGCAGGTCCTGCAGCAGCGCTCTGAGCCTCTGCGCCGTGCGCCTCTGGTTCTGCGTCTCCTCGTCCAGATCCTTCTGTCCCACCTCCCCCTCCCAGGGCGCCCGCAGCTCCACGGTCTGATTCGGAGAGTCGCTGTCGAACCGCCCGAACTGCGTGTCGTCCACGTAGCCCACGGAGGTGACTAGGGGCTCCCCGTCGCTGGGCCGGGACCTCGCGGTGTAGAAAATCTTTAGGGAGTGGAAGCCTGGGGGCGGGAGGGGGGAGGCTGGGCGGACCTTCTTCCCTGCGCGCGGGGGTCCGGGTCCCCAAGGACAAGGGGCAACAGGATGAGGAGGGCAGAGGCTCAGGGGGCAAGAGGAGGCGAGAGGCTGGTGGGACACAAAGGGACCCGGGAAGGACGGGCATGAGAGGTCAGGGGGCCTGGGGTGGCGGAGACCCTGCTTTCCCGGGGTCTCCATCCCTGCCAGGGGCTCCTTCTTTCTCCAGCAGCCACTTTCCGTCAGGACCTGCCTCACCTGCCCATGTCTCCACCAGGACCCTGGAGAGCAGCAGCAGGAGCGCTGGAGTCATTGCCTGGCCCCGAGGATGTTGAGGGCTGAAGTCTGGGGCCTCAGTGGGGACTGTGTGACTGGGGCGGGTGATACCGATGGGCGGCTCTGGGAACCCCAGGCCTTGGGGAGTGAGAGTGGGAGGAGCTGAGTTCTGCAGAGGCAAATTTGCTCTGCTGCCCTGACCAACTTGCCATTTGTCTGCATGGGAAGTAGTGTGTGTGGGCAGGGTTTGTGAGTTTGTGGTAAAACTAAGAGATGGATTTTAGTTTCAACACAGATGGTCGGGTGTGGAGTGCTGGCGATTCTTTTAGTAATAAGCCCAGAGGAAGGATGCTGGGGAGGGCACAGCTGAATGGGGCTCACTGTCACCCAAAGGATTCACCCCCAGCCTGTGATACTCTGTGAGCATTTTCAAGCACACTAGGAGCTGAAGTGATTATGAGCCCACACCCACTGGGCCCCAGCTTTAGCATTTCCCACATTTGCTGTCACACACATCTGCCCTCGAGTCTGTCTCTCTGTCTCCTTATGTTGTGAATAATCAAGCCAAAGGCACAGAGCAGTTGAGACAGCATAACCAAGTCCCACCCACATCTCTCCTCAACCTTATTCCCCTAATGAGATTAGGAGTCAGTTGCAGATGTGAGTTAATTTCATTTCTCAACTCTTCATCATTCAACTAAGTAACTAGGATTCAAATTTTTTGTGATAAAATTCATATTTAAAGATTTATTTACTTACTTATGCATACAAGAATGGGGTGTATCCCAGAGGAGTGGGTAGAGGGAGGATTCAACAGAGAGTGGGGAACAGTACAGGTGGATCTACTGAAATACACTCATGAGGGGAGGTGGGGAGACAGGAGAGGTCTGCTGGGCCATGGGGTCAGCTCCCTGAGTGGGATTCTGCTCCTACCTAAGTGGCTGGGGACAGCCTGATAGTGCTGGACTTTAACCCTTGCACCACCAGGGAGGGTCAAAATTCATATTTAGAGTAATATGTAATCTTTTTTAAAGATTTATTTATTTATGCATATAAGAGCTGGGGTACAGGCCAAAGGTGTGAGGGTCAGAGGAATCACCAGAGACAGATTGGGGAACCCACCAGTCAGATCCACTGCATACACTGCTGAGGGAAGCAGTGGGTGAGACAGGAGAGGTCTGCCGCACTGTGTGAGTCACCTCGCTGGCTGAGGATAGAACTTGTGCTGAGGCGATTGCCGTTAGCTTCCTAGTCCTGTGCTTTACCACGTTTTGCCACCAGCGAGGGCCTAGAGTAATATGTAAATCTTAAGTTTATACTTTGGTGAGCTTTGTCCCTAGTGAAGAACATTAGGATATAGGTTTACTTTATTGTACACTGAAAGGTTCAGCACAGTTAAGAGAGAGAGATCCAGGCAGTTTCTGACAGGCAGGAACTTTATTGTGCTCCCTGGGGAGGTTCACTGACTCCCACTGGGTCTGCTGGGGAACACGGGTCAGCTTTTATAGGGCTTGGAAGCTGCTTTTCAGAAACTGGTTCATCAATGACTCTTATCCGTGCCTGGGATGCAGGCAGCTCCCAGACTTTAGGGGGCTCAAGGTTAGTCAGCTACGGGTACACAGAGAGTCACAGCTCTAGATTCAAGGTCCTGCCCCGCCCTGCCCAGGTGCCGGAACCTTACAGGTACAGATGACCCTTTGCATGTCTTACTGATGGGCCCTTCACAGGGTAACTGGTCCCCACCCCACCCTGGTCAGTCCTCTCACAGCCCAGCCTTCAGCCCATGGCGTGGCCATTCCCAGCACAGTCCTCGATCACAGTCCCCTGGAACTGAGTCTGGGCCTGGTTTATCTTCAGAGTTATTTTTAATTGTGTCTACTGAGGTAACTTATTTACAGCATTGAATTAGATCTGAGGTTCAGGTTCAGACGTCTGCAGATGAGTGTGACCACACCACCCTCACCCAGCATCCACCTGTGATGTGTTATTCTCTGACTTTTCAGCAAATAACCCCATCGGACTCTCCCTTTTCCTTCCCACCTCTAACTATGGGTCCTGCAGGGAGAGCAGCGGATTGTCTCCATGTGTCTGTAGACACACAAGGTGTTCTCACAAGTTGGATCAAGAATGCTGTGTGTGCGCAGGCAATTTATGAAGCATCGTTGTGTCAGAGCAGGGGATGGTGACTTCTAGCAAAAACAAACCTCCAGGGATAGAATGAAAAGAAAAAAACAGTGATTTCTCTTTATAGTTTACCTTTATCAAGTCATTCAAAGCACCTCAATTCCTTTATGTGAATATTCCTTTACAATTATGTAACAAGTTATTGACAGAAAACATACAAGTCAGAAACCTTATAAATTTTCACAAAATCATCAACTTTCTTTGGCTTTCTGAGAACATGAAAATAAAGACATTACAAGTCACAGCCCTCACTACAGGGGTGTCTGTAAAGAGGGGGGCTGTCACTGTCAGCTCCCTGCTTCCCAGGCTTTAGCTGAATCACTCTCACTGGTGCTGAGATTTGTGTCCCCTTGTCTGGGGCTGGCGCCTCTTGGGGCCTGAGCAGAGCCAGTGTTAAATACACTAATAACCTCACTGAGATGGTGAGTGGGTGTCGAGCTCTTCAGGCCCTGAGTGGAAACAGACACCCTGTGAATACCCCAGGTGCCCAGTGCCCCTGAGCTGGGGGTGTCACAGTCATTGTTCCTCTGAGGCCCAGTCTGTGGCTTGATCTCTCTGCAGCTTCCAGAACAGAAACCAGGTTTACTTTGTCTCCAGACTTTTTGTTTCAGGCCTGAGGAAATGCTCCTCTGTGTTCCTGAGCCTCCCTGGCCAGGGCAAACAGCTCTTCACACTGGATAGGGAGTCTTTGTCCACTCCCCTGCTACTCCCCCTCCCTCCCCAAGGCAGCCCTTCTCCTCTGGGCTCAGGTGCTGGACCTGCCTGTAGGGGACTGACAGTGACCATCACCCCCAGACTTGGGGCCTCATTGCAGTCAACACTTTGCTCATTGTTACCAACAGCTGGCAGTGCTTTTACTCTCTCCTGGTCTGAAATGCTTTTCCTCCTCTGGCTCCTGAGAAACATTGTCAGTTAGTTTAAATAACAGGAAATATTTAACAATTATATTAAATAATAAGATGTTGTGTACCCATAGATCTGATGAAATGATAATGTAATTGATGTTGTATAAAAGAAAAGCCAATTCACTCAAGATGAGACATGAAAGTCAAAAACACAGAAAATATTATTACATGGTATTTGGAGACACAGAGTGGCAATGAGAGACTCAGTGGCATGAAATTATGTAGGTTGTCTCTGAGATTCAGGCAGTTGGTCAGGGGAGAGGGGGCCTCTGGCTTCATAACAGACCTGTAGCGGCAGGGCCATAAACTCTGTGTGTGTGTGTGTGTGTAGATAGACTCATATGTGTACATATAATTTGAAAAAAAAAAAAAAGACACCCAGTGGGTGAGAGGGAGGACTCTCAGGGATTGTTCTCTAAGGAGTGTCATAGAAATGGGCCCTTGTTTAAGCACATGGGATCAAATTTAGGTTTTTGTGGAGGAGATTGTCAGGTTGATTTAAGAATATTTTTTAAATGGGAGATATTAGGGCCTGTTTTCATAGAGGGAAGAATGAGCCAGAAGAGAGTGGGAATTGATGACCCAGGGGACAGGGGGGCCTCGTCCTTCACCAAGCTGAGGGGGACCTGAGACAGGAGGGGGCCTTCTCCCATCACCTGCTGGGGCAGAGGGACCCAGGTGCAGGTGCAGGGCGATGTGCAGGTCTCACCTGAGTGCTTCACATTTTATGAAAGAAAAAGGAATCATTCATCAGCTAAGAGTGGGGGGGAGGGGATGGTGAGGGGTTAAGGGAAGGAGGGGGTGGGAAAGGGCCTCTCAGGGGGTGGGAGTGGTGACCTGGGCAGAGACACCTGGGGGTGCAGGTCTGAGCCCACTGGGCTCTGTGCTCACCAACTGAGGGGGAGAGAGACAGAGACAGAGACAGAGATGGCCTCAGGCAGTGGCAGAATGGAAAACGACAAGGAAAGAATAAAGCAAAATCTCTCCAAGTGTGAAGACTACAGTGTCTTTTACTTTCCCATTGTAACATTGTATATGTTTTATAATTAATGTCCATTATAGCACATAAAGTCCACATCATACATATACATCTCACCAGAGTAAGGCAGGTCTTCCTACATTGTCAAGGGACTTCCTGTGGTGGTCCTCAGGCTCAGAGCAGAGCTGAAGTGCCGCGCTACAAGACTGCTCAGGCCGGGGGGGTGGTGGTGGGGGCACTCACAGCCCCTCCCCCACTCCTCAGGCTCCTGCTCCCTGTGGGGTCCACAGAGGTCTCCCTTCCTTGGGGGAAGATGTGATCATTTATTATTATATTAAAAGTCCTGATGGTTTTAAAAAGATGGCATTTTGCTATTTTCAAGGAGTAGAGGTGACATCCAGCCAGCCCACCTATGTCGGGGGAAATTCTGAGGCAAACAGTTCAGTGACAAGAGGGCGGGTCCCAGAGTGGCTGGTCAGAGCATGAGAACACGTGATGAGGGGATCTGCCAAGTGTTTCACAGTGTTAGGGATTCTCGTGTAATTGGTTTCCACATAGTAAATTACTTTAATAATAATTAACATCCATGCACACACAAGGGAATTCAAAAGCAACTCGAGCACATACAGAAACACTGAGTCACACCGTCTCCCCATCACCTGGCCCCCCACTCTGACCCACTCAGCTTATGCACTGGCAGGAGCGTCAGGCCTATAAAGTGCTCAGGCTACAGATGGGGGAGAGAGCTGGACATGACATAAGTGACAAGAGATGTGACTTAGAGTGTGCGTCGGAGCCTTAGAGTTCGGCAGTGAGGGAGCAAATGACCTTTGCAAACATAGGAAAACCCTCAGTCACCAAGGCAGCTCTAGAGACGGCAAATACATGGAAAGACACTGGACATTGTGTCTGCAGGGAAACGGGGATGAAAACCATCAGCAGATGCTGTCACACCCCTGTGGCCGGTCTAGACCCAAAGCAGAGCCTCAGTCCCCTATGTCCACAGGGACTATGACCCCAGACCCCAGCGGGTGCCTGAGACACCGCCAGCACCGAGATTCTCCTCCTGTACGAGGATAAAGCTTAATTCATGACTGAGGTAGAATAAGGGTTAATAATAATAACTAGTAACTTAGGACAATTGTAACAAATTATTGTAATAAAAGTTGTGTGACTGATGTCGCTGTTACCTGACAAAAATTTTGGACCCCATTGGGTTGAGGGAAACTGAAACTTTGGAAAGTGAGACCTCAGATAAGGGGGTGCACCAGGTGCCAACCAGGATGGGGAGCAATAGGGAGCCCCATTTGCTGCTGGCAAGAATGGAAAATAGCGCCTCACTATGGAAAATATCACCAGTTTCTCATAAAGTGAAATATACATTTACCCTAAAACCTGCTAATCACTCCCTTAGCTATTTACC